GACACACAACTATAGGCCTGTACTTGTATACCTATCTTGCCTTGTGAAAAGTGTGCTCGTAAAGCTTTACTTCGGGCGGACGTCCACCACGATTCCTGAGGTTGGGATCAGAGAAATGCTCCGGCATGGGTACCACGTGGTTTTACAGGCTCGTTTGACCACAAAAAGATGGCTTCAAAAGGTGCCGCGACAGCAGCGCCAGTTTCCGCCCCTTGCCTATGCCAAGCAGGCACCCTTTTCCTCTCTGTATATGTCTATTACTGTAGGGGTCTGCCCGTGTCCTACCAGAAAAAAGTATTAACTTGCATCATGGTCTCCTGATTTTTTGAATGGACATCTTTTTGGACAATTGAGATCTTAGTGTTCCTTATTCTTTTTTTGTCACAAATAAAGTTTCATGCAAAAGTTCCCTTTTTATTGCAATCTCCTCCACTTAACTGAAATATTCCTGGAATCCTATATGTAGGATATCATGTAGAGTTGTGCACAAAATATTCTCTAATGGTTCACATGTCAGTCATGTCCTTCAGAATTGTCTTGCCAGACACTGAGTTAGAAAGGATTTAAAAAATCGTGGGGTTTGAAATTTGGCTTATAACTATTGCATGGGAATCTCAAAGAGTGGAAGGTGACCTCCGACCAATAGTTTCACTGAAGTTTGTTCTTAAAGACACTGTAGATGGCCACTTACTGAGTTATACTAAAATGGCTATAACCCCTAAACCCATTACTTCAGAGATGTGAAAACAATGCCATCATATGGTTGAGATATTCCACTTTAAATGGAATACCAACAATATGTCCTTGCATCATAGGTCAATGGTGAAGCATGCAATTCATGAAGAGAAGTCCAATTTTCAAATGTACCTTTTGCCTTTGCCTTTTCAGTCACAGATTCATTTCACACAAATGTTAACCACCAAAGTTAGACCATTGTATGAGTAAGTCACATGAAAGTTTCATGACTCTCCTTCAGAGCATTTTCAAGATTTGCATCAAAATTTACTCTAAAGTAAACAAGAAAATGTGACCACTACTTGTAACCCCCCCTTCCCCCATCACTTGCTTTTCATGTTATGTATCAAGAAATTCTTGTAATTCTGTTAGAGCAGAGTCTCACAATTGTTTCACTAACCTCATCGCCAGAATTATGGGGAAAATGCACCATGGGTGATATTCCACAAGGACAGTCAAGGTCTTACATCATAAATTTGCCCTTAGCAGTGAAGACACTCAAACTCAGACTGTTAGCATTCATGGACCTTGACCACAAGGGGCATGTACATACATCAAACCTTAGATGGATTTTTCTTATCCCCACAGCAGCACAGCAAGTCTAAGTCAGATCTTTCCTTTTTGCAGGAAGTTAAAACAAGCACTAAAATGACAAACATATTGAGAAAAACAGTTCACAATCTGAAAAGTTGTAGCTCTTATGTTTGCATCATCTAAATCAATATGGTACTATGCACACTATGCAGTACTTATAAATTATCATTTATATTCTGAGATATGCTCATGAATTTTAATTATAACAGTCCACCTTCCACCACCTGGAATGAGCTGGACATGACTCCAGCATGGCTAAAACCACCTGGAAATTCAATCTGGTCCAGTCTGGAATTTCAAACTGGGATTAATAAATCAAGGAGCAGATTTCTTTGTTCCCTCTCTCTCAAAGCTCTCAAATGCACCTGCAACATATTTCAGCCTGTGAAACACTGTTCCATGAGATCTTGCACTTATAATTTATTTTCTCAGTTCGAAAGCATTTCCACTTCAAATTTTGCTTTCATGATGGCTCCAAAGTATCCCAGTGTTCAATGGTCATTCATTATTACTGAGAAGGTGAACTCCTCTTCGATGGAGGCAAGGGGCCCAAGTTTTGAGTTAAAACACACACTCTCCATTCCAAAGAGAGGTGCTACGAGTATAATGTGCTCTTTTTGAGCCATCCTGAATAATTGTAGTATCTTGGTCGTGAAGGTCTAGGTATGAAAGACAATAGTCTGGAGTGATACACAAAGAGCTTTATTTAGAATTAAGCCAAACAAAAAGTGCAGGACACTTACAATCACTGTGTCAGAAGTGGAGCATGTCTGACATTTCACATTAACTGAATATGCACTTTTGATTGGAGATAACTTTTGAGGCGAGATTCTGAATGAAGTCTCCAAGGCAAGAACAATGAACACCATATCACAAAGATTTTCCAGATTAAGGATTCAAAGGCCAAAAATCAAAAGAGAAAGACAAAGAGATTTCAGGAATGGGCTCAAATCAAACAGAATGCTAACAGAAGATGGCATGAGATCTATCACTGTCATGTAATATAAATGGTTCATGGCAAATGTTTCTTTCCAGTAAAGTGACCAGTCACCATGACCAAGGATCTACCATTCAGAAAACTAAGAAAAGTGGGAGATAAATGGGCAGGCAATGAACAGAGTGGTATAACTTAATCATGAGCAGCATAGGCCAAGACAGTAAAACGTTGTTCATTTGGTCGAGTAGCAATAAACTCCTTACAGACATTAGCTGCATCATTGAGAAATGTTTCTCCAGAGGTTTTTCCATGAAAGGTGGGCTCCACCTTCCGGCCATCCAGTTCAATGAGTTTCCCATTGTGTTCAACAAATGCCACAAAGTGGAGATCAAGGTGAGCCTCGGCTGAAGGTGCAGGTGTTTGACCTTCCTGAGCAGTCTCTCCATGAGCTGTACAGATATCTTCATTGTACTCCAATGCTTTTCCTTTTTCTGCTGGAGTCATTGACTTGGTCTTGGTCAAGAACTTTCCCAGGAAAGAACTAGGATCGATGGAAATCTGCAAACAATAGTTCATACACATCAAATCACATCAGTTGGAAACCTCAATGCTGTCTCTACCAGAAACAGCTCTATGTAATGCATATGAAAAAAAAAACTGAGGGTAAATGAGTTTACAGGAAGCACAAAAACTTCTCTAGAAAACTGGTAAGATAGTACCTTGTCTGTGAGATTCCCAAGCATATTGATCAAAGCAATGGTCCCACATGCATTGTTGATAGTCTGTTGCATGAAGAAAAGATCACCTCCTTGATCACCCTGATAATAAAGGCACAAAATTACCTGGTGAAGCCATATGCATTATCAATACCAGATATGAATCAAGCAGGAACTAAGATATAAGGAGACAGAAACAAGGAGGGCTTACACAAATTCACTCTTACCTTCTCATGAGCATCATGACTTGGAACAACATCAGTATCCTTGATGGGATAAAGAAACACCAAGCCCACTACTGGTTTGGGTACCAATTCCAAAAGTTCTGGATCAAATCCAAGAACATCTTGAAGTGAATAGGGTCCTGAGACTCCCAGACTTGTTATGAAGTTATTCATGACATCTGGATTGGATTCCAGAGGCACCCAATGAGGTGAAGACATGACACTGGATTGGTTTCAGAGGTTTTTTTCACTCCTGCAATAAAAACAGGCATCAGCTAATCAGTGCAAGAAATACATTCAATAGAAAAAAATTGAGAATCTAAAATAGCAAATGGACTTTGCATACCAGATGGCTCTCAAATAAATACTATCACCACTTAGCAATAGGGATAGCCCATTTTTCACACAATCTAGCTGACACATGCCTCTCAGCTGGAAAGTCATTTCCAATAGTAAATTATTGAAGACATTCAGCAAAGAAATTCATTTTAAACAACACCTATTTAACTCTAAGCCCATATGGGGTAACTTTACACTGAAACCAAACTTCTGCTCCTCTAGGCACTCCTACTCTGATTCATTTCACATACATTTCCTAGAAGCATTCAACAACAGAACCCAGTTCTCAGGGAAAAACATCAAGAAATTGCTAATAAAGAAAATCCACTGATAACATCATTGGATAGCAGAAGAGCTAAACCAACAAACATTCTACATATAGCTTGCTGTGCAAATCCTGCATCTTGTAAAAAAAAAATGGTTCTACAGACCTTCACCTTGAACTAGTCAATAAATATGCTGGCTAGGTGAAAAAAGAAATGCCCATGGGCTTTTACATACTGAATGCAACTATGAGACCTTGCCAATGTCAGGCATCATATGAATTGGATTAAAACCTGGTGACAAAGATTTAAGGTTGGCAAAGAGACAAATATAAGTATACTTCAGCTTATTAGATACCATAAGGATGCAACTGACACCTGTGTGCAAAAGGTTTAAAGTAGGTAAGTTCCCATGAATACACCAATGGGAATGAGAAGCTAGCACCTAACATCACTGTCAGGAAATACCAGGTGGGCCCAAAAAATGGTGGGTTATCTTCAACACTTCATAGCATAGTTTCTCAGGAATATGAAAATATTGCAAGAGTCTCTACATAGAACATTTATTTAGCTTCCCATTTATGTCAAAAGATTTAAGATCCATAACCTTTGCTTGCACATTAGCAATCTAGCTTGAATGTTGTTCACTTTTCCAGTGCTACCTCTAAGAAATTTTATTTAACTGCATGAAAATTAGGCCACAAATTTTTATTGTGTTGAAGACTGAATGAATTTTCTATACAGAAGAGCAATTGCAATTTTAGCAAACTCTTCTCAAGTTATAATGATAACCCAGGTTTTTTTTGGCCCACCAAAATCAGACAAGTTGGAATGTCTCATAAATGAATGATACACACTCCAACTGTTATGTCCTCTTCCCTCTTTCATCAAAACATTCTTGTCTTAGTACATGCAGACAGGGCTTGTCCAGTTAGTGGCAACTTAGGATTAATCAAACAAATTTACAGGTGTGCTCCTGATAACTTTGACAACTTCTAGCCCCCCTACTGCTTTTTCAACTTGGACACAATAACAAATGGGTGTATAATCAGACTAAGAAGGAACACCACCCAAGTGATAATTTCCAATTTTGATCAATCTTTGGTCATTGAAAGTATTCTCAAAACTAAGTAAAATGGCACCAAAACATGTGACAAAGAAATAGATTTAGGCTCTTAACGTCCAGGCGGATGTAAGTCCTGACGACATATCCTCTTATTCCCTTATTCTAGTTGAGTTCCTAACCCATCACTGAAGTGATCCTTGTTCTTTAGATTTGATCACAGGCAAATATCAAAAAATGGTTAGAATATAACCCACAAAATGTGCTGATATGCTCAATAAAGCTTACATTGCTTAAGTTTAATTGCCAGTGACCATATCTAAAGAACAAGAATCACTTGAGTGATGTGGAAGGAACTTGACTAGAATAAGGGAATAAGAGGATGCGACATTGGGGTCCGCCCAGAAGATTGAGAAAGCCAGTTAAGAACCAAAACCTGTTTCTTTGCCATGTTTTGGTGCCATTTTACTTCATTTGGAGAGTACTTCCAATGACCAAAGATTGGTCAAAATTGGAAATTACCACTTGGATAATGTCCCTTATAAGTGGATTGATTTCCACATTATTTCTCATCACCTTACCTCTATATTCCTGATGTTTATATAGCACAGTCACAATGCATTGGGGTATCAATGTCACTAACAACAGATGAAGGTTTGGATGATAAAATCAGCAATCGCAAGGTCCCTGATCTGGCTTGGCAACCCATTCTCTTCCTCCCCCCATCATTGGATTGTTGTGAGAAACAATGGAAGGCATACCCCACTGATAGTGACAAAACATGACAAAAGGCATTCCCCCCCAACTGATCGTGATGGAATATGCCAGCAATACCTTCCCTCCCTCCTCCTCCTTGGTATTCAGTTCCAGTAAATACAGGGTGGGCCATAATGGTCTTCACCAAAATAAATTATTGTATTTAATGTAGTAATTATTTCCCATAGACTCCAATGAACAAGACAAAAAGATACATTGTTACTATTCACAATATTTTCTATGTCCCCCCTTCTTTACAGCAACTTTAAATTGAGTCCATTGGTCAAATGCATTGAACAGGACATTGTTCCATTCCTCCTACAGTACCAACCCTAATTCTGGTTCCTAAATCTCATTTTTGGAAACTTACACCCAGCCCACTCTACATCCAATAATAAATTGGATTAGTCAGGATTTTGAGGGATCATTCATTTTTGTTGATAATTTCTGCTATACAGTCACAATGCCAGGATTTTGAGTGTCCAGCCTTGTGCCTTTGAGTGGAGTCTAGCTGAAACATTGAAGACTGAGCATCATTGAAAAGCCAACCTATTGGTATTGTGTCCCTTTTCTTTACTTTACTTTCTTTTACTTTTTACTTTCTATGGGAAATATACCACTTTGTATGGACAAGCAAAAATAATAAACTAGATAACAATTAATTTTTGATGGTTACAAGGTGTTGAAATGAGTCTTAGGTGTTTTTCAATACCCTTGTTTGCTCCATACACCAAGTCCCATTCCACAATTTAAATGTGGATCATTCTACCCTGACTAGATAAATGTCTGTAAATATAAGGAAACATGCTAAATTATAATTTGTTGGACAATTATAACTTAGAACACAACAATTGGATTCACTTATTTTCCACTCCCTTCTCCTTTAATTGGGTAGCCAACCAATTCTCTTTGACAATTGGGTCGTTCCACGCCAATTTAACCAGAGCATAAGCTCAACCAGCACCAAATTGGATGAAAATAGCCATACATATAGCGAAATTGATTTAAAGAAACCAATTTCGGCCAATTTTTTATACCTTCCACCAATCTCCTGATATATGCATTTAACTGATACCAATTTTTGGCTCCCTGTGCCCATACATACAGGAATTGTGAAACTGTTTCTGCAATTAATTCTCTTCTAATGAAGATAGAAGCTTCATTCTGGTGTAATTTTAATTGCTAAATCACCATCTTTAAATTGATTATAGACAATATCCTTCAAAGATAAAACAAGAAATTCCATGTGACCAAGTGTTTTCACCATATTCAGTTTTGAAAAGCGACACTTGCCACCTCTGGAGTTCTTAATTCCAATAATTTCTTCAAAAGCACATGTTATGCCCTTTCGAAGGATACCAAATGCGAGATTGGCACTCAATGGATTATTGAGATATGGCTATTTGTCTGATGCAACAGTACCAAAATTTCCCTTGATGGAACAGTTTGACCGGCGTCAGTGACCAATATGTGCACTAACCCCTCCAAGAAACCAAACTTGTAATACTCCATTGAAAGGCACATATCATGCCCATTCTATCATCCAGACCCCCCATGATATTCAATTGATAACCACTGGGTTAATAGTTTATCTAGCTACTCTCTTTGATTTTTACATGTAAAGATTTCCCACAGAAAACAGTGGGGCACTTTTTTCCAGTTGCCCTATAATTTTCCCAATGCATCAAATTCACCACCCATAGTCTTGGTCAAAGTATGAATCCTTTCAAAACAGCCATCATGAAATCAGCATACTTTTGGGCAGTCCCAGGCCAAGATTCAATGGGATTGCAGGAGGCTTACAGTATCAGGCAAAGGTCAAAGTAATTTGCATTTCATGATTAACATGCAAACTAAATGCTCAATTTGATGCAGCTGATGATTGGCTAACACTAGACAGGACATATTAAGAGAATAAGAAAACTTTCCAAGCTATTCAAAATTCATGACAGACCTTGGCCTATATTAGCTTCACCTCTATATATTGGTCTTCAAATAAATGCTAAGTGCCAGTGTGAACCCATTATTTCATGATCTCCATGAAGTGTTCAATTGCAAAAAATAAGCCTGAGCACTCCCAGGTTTTTCAGCAAATACAGCCCTTTGCCACATTCATTGCTGGATATTCTGGGTTTATATCATGATAAATTCTACATCATTGGAAAGCTTTCCTCATAACCTGAACTCTTGTAGGCAATTCAACTGAATGATCGAGGGAAGAAGGCAGGGTCCATTCCATATACTTCAACCATTAAGTTTATTTTATGAAATGGTGTAATACAGGCCCTTCAGGCTACAATGTGATTTGCCCAGACCAATGCTGAGTTATTGCATCTTCATCTTCTGACTTAGACAAAGTCAGCTTGCCTCCAACTTTGCTAATGAGCAGGAGATGCCAAAACAAAAAATGAAAAAATGTGCAAGTGGCTTACATACTACAGAAACAATTCAGCTATCACTTCTAATTCCACCATTATCAATACCTGCTCCTAGTAAGAAAACCTACTCAGCATAAGCCATGACAATATAAAATGAGGTGGCATTAAAAAAAAATACTAACTTCAATCTTCAAGTGATGACCTTTCCAATCTCTTGAACATGCTCAATGAGACCAGCTGATACATGAACAAGCTTCTGTCACAAGAACAAACAGGTTATATTCAAGAGAAGGAACCCTATCTCATTTAATTTTCCATAAATGGATGTCCCCAAACTAAATGAAGACTATACTTACAGCTCCAGTATACCATTCAAAAATTAGACATAAACTTTTGCAATGAAGAAGCAGCATGTGCCTTCAAACTTCCCTGAATTGCCTTTATGAATCCGACAAGAGCT